AGAAGAGACATGAAGAAGAGGGGACACATGTTGATGTAGAAGAGACATGAAGAAGAGGGGACACATGTTGATGTAGAAGAGACATGAAGAAGAGGGGACACATGTTGATGTAGAAGAGACATGAAGAAGAGGGGACACATGTTGATGTAGAAGAGACATGAAGAAGAGGGGACACATGTTGATGTAGAGGACACATGAAGAAGAGGATTTTAAATAATAGGTGACCTTTAAAGTCAGATCTAAAGAGACGTATGAATGATATCTGGTGTCTCACCTCCGCCTCCCCCTTGATTGTGTCCACTCTGCTGATCAGCTTGCAGTACGCCTGGAACAGCAGCAGCAGCTGGAAGTGGAGCTTATAGAGCCGGCGACACAACTCCAGCTCCTACACACACACACACACACACACACACACACACACACAGCTTAATGACAGGAGAAGTGTGTGAGGGGTTCATAGGATGAGAAGTCAGGAGTCTCCTCTACAGTCGGTGTGAAACCTGCAGTAGAGACGGACAGGAGCTCCAGCAGGAAGCCTCATTGAACTCCTACAATTTATATTATTTGTTTGTTTGTGTAACGGCAAAGTCACACAGTTGGAAAATATGTGAGAACTTTAAAAGAAAATGCAAAAGAAAATCAAAAAAATTATCGAAATTTCAAGAAAGAAATATATATTTTCTGAAAAAATGTTTTCATATTTTTTTTTTTTAAAGTTATAAATAATTATAGCAAAAGGATCATTAAATTTTTTTTGAATATTTTTCAAAAATGACCTACATGACTGAAAAATACTCAAAAATGTGAGCAAAAAGTGAGAAATGTTTGAGAAAAAGACAGAAAACCTTTCCTAAAAAGGTCTGTCTGACAGCGAGGTGAAGTGTGGAACATATTGTGTATGAAGGGTAAATCTAATCTGAATGTGTTAGGAGTTTAAACACACATTGTCCGCTTCCTCCTGTCCTCCTCTCTGTTCCTGCTGCAGTCACACACACCTCTAACCACCTGACCTCTGAACAGCTGATCATGTGATTAGATGGTTTCCTGGGTTAGAGTCGAGGCGAGGGAGGGGGGAGATGAAAGGGTTAAAATGGCGTCCAGTGTGAGCAGGAAGTGGGGGTGTTTCTCAATGTCGAGTACGCTTGCTTGGTAGCACATGTCTTCCGAGCGTCTTGCTTCAGAAGCGAGGCAAGAATACTTCCTGGCATTCGGAAAACGAAGAGTGGAACAGGTGTGCAGGTGTGCGTCACATGAGAAGCCCAGCCTTACATTTTTCGCCACAGATTTGGTAGTACCCCTCAATGCAGTGCGCAATGCCTCAACGTCTCAACGTGGGCGGGGCTCAACCTTTCTCAACCTTTGAGGCACGTGACGTCCCGACTCCCGTGTTGTGGACTTACCCAGTCACAAAAGTAACATGTTATATTATTAATATATATATATATAATGATACCGGTAATATAATGATACCTTGAGGTCTGTGTTACATTTGAGTTTAAATGCAAACTTTTGAACTAACTTGATGGCGAGGGATCTGTCGCCAGGGCAACGGCATTTCAAAATGCAAAACTCAAATTAAACCCATTAACACCCTTCATGCATGGTTATGAACCATATGAACACATGAACACAACTACATCATAAGGGAGGGGAGGAAAAGATGGGGATTCAAAAAGGAAATGGAGAAAAAGAGAGAGTTTAAAGTAGAACTGATTAGAAGTGGCAAAAATAATACTAAGGGGTAGGAGAGGTTTTGGGGTTTGGGTGGGAGGAAGGAAGGAAGAGATTAGGATTAGGTAAAAAGGTAGGGAGTGGTTAGGGTTAGGATGGGGGGAAGGGAAGGGTTAGATTGAAGGGAGGGAAGAGAACTGCTACCCGGGAAACAGGATGCAACGCGTCATCTGTGAAACTCCGCCCACATTGAGCTCATTGAGGCATTGCGCACTGCATTGAGGGGCTTCTCCAGATTTGGGGAAATTGGTCCGTGCGCAAAGCATTGTGGGGATTTTAAGACCACGGAGTCTACACATGTGCAGCCTTGAAATGTCCCCAAACGAAGGACGCCGGGCTCGGTAGAATTCCAAGTATGCTGGACATTGGAACAGTACTTCGGCGGCACTCGATGACGTAGTATGCTTGAAATAGTGGCTCTGGAGCAGCTTTACTCGACATTGAGAAACACCCTGAATCTACCAGAGTTAGTCATGTGATCAGAAACCCTCCAAATCACCCGAGAGGTCAGACCCGGATCCAGGAGGACATGATGCTCAGCGGATGAGAGGGAGAATAAACATGCAGAAAGAGATGAAATCCTGACGACAAAATGAGCTCTCTGACAAACTCTGACATCTGTACAAGCTGTTTGTAGTTTTAAATAAAGCTTTGAATGTTAGGAATAAGACTTGCTGTTCAGCAGGGATGTCAATGTAAAATAAATGACTAATACCAGTAACATTTGGTATGACTCAACACCAATTCAATACCAACTGCAATAAAATAATACAAATCTCATCAACGACAAACACTGCTTTGTTAGCGCTAGCATCCTTGGTTTTGTTAGGAAGTTTAACACGCCTCTGATTTCTATCCTATACTGCTGGGGATAACATTTCAAAACACTAACATGAAAACGATTTAATATACCCCTACTCAATATTTATTTTTACTGAATGGAGCTTGAATGCACCATGATGTTACACTGACCTCTGGCTACAAACAGCTAACGGCTAGCAGCTAGCGGCTAACGGCTAGCGGCTAACAGCTAAAGTGAGCTAGCCCTCCTGCACACTTTAACACAGATTAGCTGATCACAATGTAGGATCTTTAGGGAATATTTTTCATTTTCTGTATCCCAAACACATTTTCTATCTTCCCCAGGATGCCGTTAGTCTGGAGTCCTAAAGATACTATCTGAGGGTCTGCAGAAAAACGAGTAGCCTATCAAGTTTTGGCATCACTAGGTATGAGTTCTGGGCACATCCCTAGTATTCAGAGTCCATAGAAAACCTAAGTACAGATCTCCCTGCAGACTGAATCAGGTGCTTTTATAATGAAGGGTTTAGCAACAGAGAAAAGCCCATGTTGCCATACAGGATAATAAATCATAATGAGTGAGGGGGGGTTAAATGAAGGTAGATATGAGGGGGGGATGGTCAGTGTTTGTCCGTATGACTACAAGAGTCTATAATATGAGAACCACTTACTGCTAGATTCTCCATTTGCTAAGCAAGAAGGTGAGCAGGTCACAACAACAGAAACAGAAGGAGAGAGAGATCCAGAATTAGTGAGCGACACATGGCAGAGACAGGAAGCAGCTCCTTCCTCCTCCTCCTCCTCCTCTTCCTCACAAACACATCAGAGGAACACAAGCCTTTATTTTGAAAGGGTGTTCGGACCAGACGAGGAGTTTTACGGGATTTCATACAAAGTCAATGCAAAGCACTCAGGTGTGCTAATCTAAACTGTTAAACCAGTGTGCTGAAGCTCATCAGAGTCGAGCTTCTCCTGGCGATAGCAAGAGTCAGAAACAGAGAAGAGGTTATGGTCTGTGGGCGGAGCTTACACGTCAGCACTGAACCAACAGCAGTAAAGACTTCCAGCTAATCTGAGTTAGCACAAGAGTTAGCTTCCTTCCCTAGTGAATACGCACAGTGTGTTAGCTAAGTGTTAAAGGGGCTTCTCACTGAATGACATGTCAACTCATACATTTGGGGAATGTTTGCGTTGCAGAAGCATAAAGAGACAAGGCATTGTACAATAGAGAAATTAAAAGACTAGAAATAAACAATCCAACATCTCATGGCAGAGACTCCTGCAGCTTTGTGTGCAGACAGTGTGTTGTTAGTACACAGCAGCATCTAACAGGACATGCAGGAGCACTACATGCCGTTTAATCTGCAGCTCGTTCAGCAAGTGCACGACACCTGGGTTCAGGTAGGAGACGTTAGCAGGAGAGTTAGCGAGGTGGTTTTTCACAATGTGTTATGGCTTAAAGAGGTTCTATTCTGCTTTTCCCCTATAGGTTTTAGTGCATGTCAATGGTCTGATAACGCTCAAATCCCTGTGTTCTCTCCATAAGCAGTTTGTCTCCCACACACTCCCTCCCCTGCCTGAAACACCTCCTTTAGTTTACTTCTGGAACATAGTGAAACACTTTGTACCTTATTGGAAACTTCACATGTATCCATGTTTGAGTGGCTGTTTCTAACCTCACTGCTCCTACCTGTGTGTGAGTGTCGGCTCTCTGGTTGCTCTCTTTGTCTCCAAAGGTTTTCTTGCAGTTCTCCAGCCACTGCAGGAGGAAGAGGAATAACACAGGAGGATTAAAGATGGAGGGGGGGGAGACAGTGGACGTCTGCATCTGTGTGTGATAAAGGGTGGTGGGGGCAGATCTAATAACAGGGCTGTACTTAGAGAATTAAAGGAGGCCTGTGCAGCGATGGGTTCCAGGCCTCCAGGGAACATCCAGTATTCAATTAGCACACACACACACACACACACCCC